CTGGGTCATCGGATTTCAGTGTGTCCGAAATTGGATGCCCAAAGAAGACAACAAATTGGAAATATCAGCCGTGGTGGCGGTGGAGAGAGAGGTGGTGGCGAATATTAATTTGTATAGACGTGCACAAATTTAGGATTGTTCAATATGAAATCAAGTAATTATGATATCTCTCTCTATTTGATTCATATTATGAACATTTTAACTTAGAAATTTCACGATACTAATCGGAAGTCAACTTTTCTTCTAACAGCAAACTCTGTTCTCTCTATTTTCTTTCCACACACTTCCATCGCTATAAATTTCTTTTTTCCAAATCGGTGCCTTTTCTTTTAGTTGATTAATTAACCATTCGACAGATTGAAGAGATTCTTTCCTGTGGACACTAGATACAGCAATTATAACACTATTTTCTCCCACAGGAACAGTTCCCAGGCGATGATAAACTGCAATTTTTTTTAACTCCCATTTAGACCTTGCCTCAGAAATTATTGACAACAAGACCTTTTCGGCCATTGGAATGTATGCCTCATAATCTAGCTTAATAACTTTCTTGTCTACTTGTCATAAAAAATATGTATCAATAAAAAAAAAAAGCTAAATATTATCAGGAATTCAGAATAATGCTACCTCGGTAGGTGTCGCGCGTGGTTCCGCTAAATGTTGAAATCGCACCGGCGCCATTATCTTTGACAATATCAACAATTGTTTGTAAATCAAGAACTTCTGAAGTTATTTTAACAAAGTCTACTGTGATATCTGTATCTGTCATATTTTACGCAATGAGGTTTTTTTATGTCGTTCCAATTGTGATTTTGGTTTAGTACTGAAAAATTTGTGACCAATCACATTTTAAAAACGTAAAACCGACACCAAAAAATTGCTAATATCCATGTTTAAATCAATAATTGTAACTGGAGCGTCTCGTGGCTTAGGAAGAGCTATAACCATTCAACTGTTGAGGCACTTTAATAGCAATGTCGTGGCGATTGCTCGTTCCGAAAAAGACCTCAATAGTCTGAAAGATCACGTTGAAAAAGATCTCGGGTTAATGGGAAGACTGGAAATTGTGATTGGTGATGTTACCGACGACCAAATTACCGAACGGGCTGTGCAAAAGTCTTTGGATAC